CCCCCCCCCCAGTACACATACTTTGTGACCGGTCCGTAAAATCGATTACCAATTCTTTACATTTGTCACCTTTAAGTTGTAGTCTATTTTGGACAGACCAATTCACGACGGTGTTCATACCCCTTTGTACATGGCTTAAACAGTTTCTGGACACGAATAGTCTTATAATCCATGCAGAAACACGAGCCCATTCAGAGTAGCAGTTATTAGAAAGTTTCACTCTTTGAAAACTGTCCATGACAAAATCAGCAGCCCATAGAAAAATTTCTCTAGTGATAGCTAATTCGTGGAGTTTTTCCAAAAGGATGTGGTGGTCGATCAGGTCAAAAGCCTTCCTGTAATCAGAGAAGATTACTCTCACTGCTGATCCTGTACCGTCGATAGCCTGTGCCCACTGATGTATCATGGAGATAAGTGCATGAATCGTTGAGGATTTTGGGATAGCCCTATCAGGCGATCAATTATTTCAAGCACTACTGGGGAAATGTATTTTGACATCACAAACCCTTTAGCAACCTTGAAAACGGTGGGGGTCAAGGAGATAAGTCGAAGATGTTTGTTAATAATGATAACATGCTTCTGTTTAGGAACCAGTGTGACATTGGCATGTTTTGATGCGAATAAAAGCTCCTGTTGGAGAAGCGAACTGTTGAGAATACAGTAGAACAAACAGATCGAGCAAGAATTTCCGCGTATTGTAGGTCTTTAGTAGCCAATTTGAGTTTGGAAAGGAATAAGGATGTTGTAAACATCCATTTCAGTTGTCAAATCGAACGCCAACATGGCGGCTGTGACGTCCAAGGGTTGGTGGTCCAAGGGTTGGTAAATGCGTGGAGGTTCTAAAAACGTGTTGTTAATTAATCCTATCAGTAAAATCGGCACCCTTGATATCGTCCTTTAGGTTCTCCAAATAGAGCCGTGCTATTAGATTCTTAGTACCTATTGAAGAAGCCATACCAGATATCCAATTTTGCAAAAAATCGACCCGACTTGGTAAGATTTCATTGTCTTTACTTTCATGTTTACTACGTCCTCATCGCACGAGCAAGTGAGCAACCACATTCTTGGGCACTTTAATTGTCATATTGTGAATTATTAATTTTGTTCAATTTCATACTCACATACTGCATGGTAACGATTTATCACGTAATATATTGCTATACTCCAGCGTTTGAGAGGCCTCATTTTTATCTGTCATGAGTTGATTGCTTGATATCACATGGCTTATAGATCTTCAATACAATCATCTCCATCTGGACATGAAGATTAAATCGGAATCAGAACTAGTGAACTTCCCAGATTTACAGGCAGACGTCGAGAAAATAAAAGTTGTTCCTTCATTTAAGACGCTTCCCTTCGCACGTCAAACCTTTCAGTACTAACTTTGTAACTATAAATGCTATCAATATATATTGCATACGACGGACGCAATATTTCAACAATTTGCAGTGCTTTTTGAAGTGAAGCGATCCGCCATATTGCAGAATTTTTAACCCAGGTTATATAGAGACACGTTGCGTTTTAAGCAGGGTTTTAATCAAAATCCTCTGATCCTGAAGTGAGCTTTTTGAAAACTCATGTGACACTTGTACGAAAGTTTGGCGGTAGCTATGGGTTCGTTATCTCATTATTTCTCGTGTTATCATCACGCTGAAACAAAATGTTTGGCGAAGTATCCGATTATCAGAGCAAATTACACACCGTCCATTTTCTTGCAATGATATGGGATGACACCTTCTTAAAAGAAAGTGTTTATTCTCATTGGGGTTCAATTATAGTTATGTTTTAGCGAGTGTGTATCAGTTACATAATGCATTTCACATTGGTGACGCCTTTTCACTTCTACTTGAGACAGTGATTAAAATCCGCAGATTTTTTTTTATTATTAATGTACATTTCTCCAAAATTAATATGGTTTTTCAGAAATAATTACAGTAATGTCATAATGTATGTTTTAACTATAATAGCTATGCTTACATATTTAAAATGATTAAAATATCTAAAACTAATTAATTAAAATTGTTGAGATTCGTGAATCCTAAAAAGGGTATTACAAGTATTAAGCAGTCAACTCCTTATACAAAAACTGTCTGATTGAATTTTTTAATATTTCCAGACTGGAAGTTTCTTTTATGTCTTTCGGTAAATTATTTTATAATTTTGTTCCCCTGTACAAAAATGAACGCCGCCCAACAGCCGTTCTATAAAGTGGGACATCTAGTTCAGATTAATTGCTAAAGCACAAAAAGGGAGAAGAGGCCTGCAAGAAAACTTGGCTTTTGGGACCAAACTGAACAAATTGTGGCTTTTAAAATTGACCAATAAAACTGAGCCAATCAAATTCCACGTCGAAAATTTTAATGGTTTTTCGTCAAGAAAGACGGGTTTTCTGGCCCTCTCTCCCTTCGATTTTTCGCTTCAAAAGGGGCCGGCAAATGGGGGGGGAGGTGTGGCTAGGCCTGGGTTTATGATCTGTACTCGTAACCTTAATTTTTATTTTAGAAGGATTGAAATAGTTACCGTTCAGTTTTAAATTTAATCTCTAACGGCGAAAAACCTCAATTTCATTTGGTGTGAATTTGCGACTGCCCGCCAGTAGTGCTTTGGTTTGTGGAGTGCCATATTGGTATCCTTCAGGAGGTTGGTATGTGTCACCAAGGTCGCTGTATGAATGTAGATTTGCATTGGCATTGCCACTGATCAACAGATCATAATGACCAAAGGTTGCTCCCCTGCCAGAAAAACAGCTGATTGCTTTGTCATTTCGATGATTATAAATTGGACATTTGAATGGCGACAGGTTGTCTTTATTTCGAAGCGAAAAGACAAACGAGCTTCTGGAACGTTTACATCCACCAAGAAAACCTGAAAAAAGGTAAAAAATATTTTTATTTAGATATTTATTAAGAGACACATACATGAATGACGTAATTTTATTAAACACAAGATTAGTGTCAGAAAAAAGAGCATGTACAGCTAATTTGTAGTTGAAATTAATTTTTGTCTGATAATGGTAAAAGCACAGCGTTTTGATGATACTTCACTAAAAAAATGTATTTTCATGAAAGAAAAACTAGTTGAAAGGCTACATTTAGAAAAAATTGGAGTGACAGGTATCACCAATATTCCCCTCCCCCGTTTTTAGCCACTAGTCTATATGGTCACTGGAAGTTTGTAGGGTATAATTTTAGGTTGTCATGCAGTAGAGATTAAGGAAAATTGGTTTTATAATATTGTTACATGGCAGTAACCGTGAAAAATTCATTGCAACAAAATATATTTAAATTTTTACTTTTAAGCATGGTAGTTTTACTGCAAGAAGGGGAGAGTGCATTTGTAGAATATGTCGTAATTAATTCTTTGTCTCATAATACTGAGAGCACAATGTCTTGATGCAACTTCGCTATTTGCAAAGTTATAATATAGTTATAATATTTCGCTATAGTATTCAAAATTAAGATTTACAATAATCTCCAGGTTTGATTACATAGCTATATATACATTACAGTAACTACAGTACCTGAAACTTCCCAGCTCTGATTAGTGTAGCCGCCGAAGACATTTGTACCACATTTGACCAAGATCACTGTAGGTCCTACCTCATCACACTTTATATGAAAATCTTCTCCTTTCCAACCATCATGTGAAGCTCGATAACAAAGTTGCCAACCAAACTTATTATCTTCCACCCAGTCCGCAAGTTGCTTCGCATAATCAATGTCGCCATTCAAGATGGTTGATCTTTCACATAAAGACTGTACTGCAGGGTCAAGTAAAGGGACACATGTAAATTTTAAACTGAAATATTTTTACCTCCCCCCCCCCTTGTTTACTATGTTATCCCTGCATATACTTGAGAAATAGATAGTACAAAATCTTTAGATATGCACTGTACGCTATCAAAAGCAGTTTCCCTGAAATTTTTTTAGGCCATACAATTACTGGAGCATTTATTCCAATGGGCCCTTTGCTGTAGTAAAGCAAAGTTTTCGAAATGAACTGGGCCCTTTTTATTATTAATAAAAACACGCTGGTCAAATTTATCAAATTTTCTCCCACTCGTGCGGGCTCGTATTGTCAGCGGACATCTTACAGAAACTGGCCAGTTCTTTGAAAAATGCAAAAGTTTCAATTTTTCACCGCACGTCCGCTGAAAACGCGAGCCTGCGGTACTGGGAGAAAATTTGATGAATATGACCAGCGTGAAAGGTTCAACCCCGTTGAGAAAGCTGCATCTACCAGTTTTCTCATGTTCTCCCACATTTATGACATTCCAATTTATAAATATTTCTACACAATGTTCTTCAATATATGTACACTTAAATGGATGGGGGAAATTCCCTCGATAAGATTTTGCCCATAGTAGTTGTAATTCCTGAAAAAATGCTCTGAAATTTTTTTTCTGAAAGAATCGGGAAACGACTCATCTTGAGTAGCTATTCAAATTTGAAATAGACAGATATCATGCATTATTTTAAAACGTTTATAAGTTAATTTCTATTCTGTGTGCCTATAAGTATAGTTTTAAATGATTGGATAGCATAGCTGTATTTAAGTTTTTCAGCCATTATTGCGTGTATGAAAAGTAACGTCAGTTCCAGTCCCTTGCTCTTGCGTTTCACCCAAATGAAAATGAAAAACGACGGCGCGCAGATTTGAGCTAGACTGAGCCCCAATATCCACCTCTTTAATTACTCTTTAATGAATTATCTGTGCCTAAGAAATTATCAGCAATGGCTGATTTCAGTTCACAGACCTGTAGCCTCATTCATCTTGGCCAGATGTATCAATTATAAAATAAAATTTGGAAATATAAAATGAATAAAAGATGGTGGACCTGCAAAATTGGAAGCTGATCCCTGATTAATTGGTGCTTACCTCTACGAAAATTTCACATGTGAAAATGCTTTTTAACAATTTGCATGAGAAGTGTTTCAATTCCAGATATGAAATAAAAGTTTCACAGATGAAATTAATTTTCACATGTAAACCTTTAATTTCACATGAAATGAAAATGAAATGACGAATTAATTTCGCATGTGAAATGGCAGTGAATGTCATATGAAACGCAAGGTATGTTTACGTTGCGAGCCAACGTTTGGCCACGGATATGTTCAAGTCTAATCTAATAATCTGTCGTCTGCATGGCTTTACATCTAATTTGTCTCGAGTCAATGAGCTCAGTGAAACAAAAACGTAGTATAGTGAAGGTCAGACCTAGGCTAGTATTGTAAACTCGGTTAAATCACTTACCTTGTTTCGAAGCAGGAGAAACTAAAAAGAAAAATAGAAATCACAGTCAGTGAAAAAGGCTCGCAACATATAAGCTTGCATGCATGCATGCATGCATGCATGCATGTGTTTATGTAGGTCATTTAATTCACATATAATGGGCATATTATGTTTTGTCAGTAACTTAATTTGTATGTCGAATGTGGGTCCTGTCAAGAAAGTTTACCGAATAATATCTAGGGGCAGAATGAAATGCTTTGGTGTTTAACTACCTCGCTCTCTATACTGTGGTGCGTAGCAGTAAGGTTGAAAAGAATTCTACAATTTCAAAGTAACGCTGCATTGAGCGTAAATCCCGGCGCACAGCAGGGCTATCTGATTTAGCAAAATTTCATTCGTGACTGATTCCATAAGGAATCGTTTCCAGTTTAATTGTTGCTCTCGATAGAAATTTATCAGAGCGTCTTGCAGTAAAACAAGATGTGCCACAAGGATCGGTATTATAGGTCCTTTACTGTTTTTTGTTATTTGTGAATGATCTACCGCTTCATAAGCGCTCTTCAGTTGATATATTTGCTGATGATGCAAATGCGCATTTTGGTGACATTTCCTCCTTGACTGATATTTTAAATAGTGACCTTGATTTTTTTAATAAATGGTCAGCACAGAATAAAATGCTGCCGTGCAAAATTTATTGGGCCAATAAAAGGGGCCATGCAAAATTTATTGTACCCCCGGGCCGGAGCAAATCAATTTTGAATGTTGAAAAAAAGAACGCTCCCGCTGGTTGGTGTGATAAAAATCTCCAGCCCAGCTCGGAACTTTGCTAAAAAATTTGCTCCGCACTATTGCTTTGTGTTACCCTGGGTTTATTTCCATGAAAATACACGATTCTATTTACGATTTTATCAAACAAAAACACTTTTATTCATCAAATATATAAGAACCATGCTCTCTTAATTTTCTCTCGTATGGCCTTATGGGCCACATTTGGCACAGGGTGCCCTAATTATTATCCGGGTTACACTCTCCCCTACTTTAAAAGTTCATCACACATGATGCTTAATTACAACTAAAATGTTCAGAGGCTTAAGCTCCTAGTGTTACATTAACTCACTGTCATTTACGTAGTCAGTAGGTTGATCAGGCCTACTCACACTAACATATTTTCCAAACTATGCACAATGCATTCAACTAGACTTCTAATGTAACTTTCGAGTTAATAACTTCAGTTCTTACGTATCCGCACAAGCTTTCTACAGTTGTAGCGTTTTGCTTAGGTTACTTAGTTCAAAATGTTCGCATAATAAGTTCACTTACAGTTACCAAGTTCAACGTTACCACATTCCTACTGGTCCAATGGGGTAAAACGGCGTTGATGCGTTGCACATCGGCGGATGAAACATTTGCCAAGGGCACTGCATCGCGATCGGTGACCAAAATTGCGGTTGTGGTGGTAACCATCCTGGGTTCCAAGGTGGGTAAGGGGTCATCGGCCAAGGTTGCAGATTCGTATTAACAGCTTGACAAAATAATGCTGGGTTTCCCGGTTGATTATATCCGAATCGCACCGGTGGTTGTCTTACTCGTTGCGGGCGTTCTGCTGGCCAAGGGTCCTCAATATTTTCGTCGTTCCATGGTTGGTCTTCGTTCTCGGCCATTTCGTTTTGGACTGGTGCATTTACGTTTCCAATTTCATTGTGCGGAGGAACTTCTCCGTTTAATTCTTCTCCACCTTGGTCATTGACATTCACCAGATCAGGGCCTTCGTTTGGAATGTCTCCATTAATCTGTACATCAGGTACTACGACTGGTTCTGGTCTTTGGGCTGATCTGTATTCTTCGAAGTTTATATCTGAGTAGCCATCTCCGTCCGTGCCGGATTCTCGTGCTTCACTCATTGCTTCATCAGTAACGTGGGATGTTTTGACAGGTCGCTTTTTCCGATTTCTACTATTCCTTTTGTTCCCTTTGTTTGCTGATTGTTGCTCCAAAAAGTGACAGGGTAGAAGCAGGTTTCTATGAAGAACACGTATTCTTCCTTCTGCTCCTTCCGATTTTACTTTGTACACTGGGCTATCTTGACCTTTTCGTTCGACGACAATGTGTATCTTGTCTTCCCAGTAAGCTCTAAGTTTTGCTGGTCCCCCACGTTCGCTCAAGTTACGAACCAGGACTCGATCACCTGGGTTAAGTGCCGAACTATGTGCTCTCTTCCGCTCTCTCTCTCCTCTTGTGTGAAGTTGATGCCCCGTTCTCTTTCTAACGATCTCGTACGCATCTTTCATATCCGTAGCCCACTGTTCCACATACTTTGGATAACTTACACTCTGCGATGGATGACACAGTCCAAATATCTGATCAATAGGTAGTCTTGGTGCTCTACCAAACAATAGGAAGAATGGTGCGAATCCTGTTGCATCGTTCCTCGTACAGTTATACGCATGTACGACTTTGTTTAGACTGTCTGCCCAATTCGACTTCTTTTCTTCTGGCAGGGTTCTGAGCATGGCAAGCAAGGTCTGGTTGAATCGTTCGGCTTGTCCATTTCCCTCGGGGTGGTATGGCGTTGTTCTAGAATGTTGTACTCCACAAAGTTCCTCTAGATGTTTAAACAGATTGTTCTCAAATTCACCGCCCTGATCGTGGTGAATACGTGACGGAAACCCAAATCGAAGGACAAAATCATTGTATAACTTGTTAGCAGCAGTTCTAGCAGATTTGTTACGGGTCGCATACGCCTGGGCGAATCGGGTGAAGTGATCTACAACGACTAAAATGTATTCATAACCACCTTTGCTCTTTTCCAAGTGAACAAAGTCGATCGATATTAGTTCAAACGGTGCTGAAGATGTGAGGTGTTGTTGTGGTGCTTTAGGAAATACTTTTGGACGTCTCTGTTTCAAACAGGAGCACACATTTGTGATATAATGCTGTATGTCCCGTTGCATATAAGGCCAATAGAACCGCGTTTTTGCCAATTGAAATGTTCTCTCCCATCCTAAATGGCCCATCTCTTCATGGAGTTCACGATACACCATTCGATGAAATTGCCTGGGTAACACCAGTTGTAGATATTCTCCGGCGCGACGTCGCAGTATCCCGTCTTCTCCGAGTTCCAGCTTCTTCCATTCATTCATTAGGCGGCGTGTCGTCTTTGTTTCAGCCACTCTGTCTCTTATTGACGGTTTTTCGGTGCTGTTTTCTAAATACTGGATCACTTGTTTAAGATTATGATCATTTCGTTGCGCACTGTATAAAGCTTTTGGCGAAATCTCCTGTCGGGTAGCACCTGCTGTTTCATTTTGGTCTGCTATATCCATGTTACCTGTAACTGCGTTGATCCAAGTAGTCTTTCCTGCTGCCTGTGCTTCCACTCCTTGATTGATGGCTTCGATGTCCTCCTGGCTTGTCTCTGCAGTGCATTGGCTTATGTATTCTTCGACGTTCACAGGCATTCGCGACAACGTATCAGCAACTTGATTCTTACGGCCAGGATGATACTTTATGGTGAAATTGAAGTCGGCTAGTTCCGCTAACCAACGATGTCCAGTAGCATTTAACTTGGCTGAGGATGTGATGTACGTTAATGGGTTATTGTCAGTATATACAACAAACGATGGTGCGTAATAGAGGTAGTCTCTAAAGTGCTCTGTGATGGCCCACTTCAAAGCCAGGAATTCAAGCTTCCCAGAATGCAAATAGTAATTCTTTTCAGCTGCTGTCAACGTCCGCGAACCATATCCAATCACTCGCAGCTTGCCTTCTTGACATTGGTATAGAGCAGCACCCAGGCCTTTGTCGGAAGCATCAGTATATAATGTATACGGCAGGTTTACATCGGGATACGCTAGAATCGGTGGACTTGAAAGGAGATCAATGAGGGAGTTAAGTGCATCTTGGTGTAGTTGTAACCACGTAACAGGTTTAGAAGATCGAACACAGTTCGCTTTTCCCGTGTCTTTCAGTAGATCAAACAACGGTTTTGCTAGTCTTGAGAAGTCAGGAACATAGCGACGATAATAGCCAAGAAGTCCCAATAGCTTTCTAACTTCCCCAATTGATTTTGGAGGCATCTCCTTCAGCGACTTTAATGCACTAACGTTCTTGGGATCAATTCGATAACCTTTCTCAGAGACAATTCTTCCAAGGTAGCAGACTTCCCTTTGAAATAAATTACATTTCTTTGCCTTTAATTTAACACCATGGGCACGCAACCGTTGTAGTACAGTTCTGAGATGGTCTATGTGTTCCTCGAATGTCTTACTGAACACTATTATATCGTCCAAATAGGGTAGGCAGATGTCATCTCGCAGTCCTTCCAAACACCCTTCCATGAAGCGCTGAAATGACGCTGGGGCATTGGTCAAGCCGAAAGGTATACGCACCCACTCGTATAACCCCCAAGGGGTTACAAAAGCAGTCATAGGTCTACTTTCTACATGCATAAACCCTTGGTGGTACGCTTTGCCCTGGTCCACTAAAGAAAACCACTTGTTTCCACCCAACCCATCTAGTGTGTCCTGTACTCTCGGTAATGGGTGTCTATCTGGAGTAGTACGTTTGTTCAATTCGCGATAATCGACACATAAACGTAATTCACCATTCTTTTTACGAACACATACGACAGGGGATGAATATGGGGACTTTGACTTCGTTATCCACCCGCGGTTTAGCAGATCTTCGATATATTGTTTGACTTTGTGGTACAAAGGTAGTGGAATAGAATTGTAGGTTTTCTGGACTGGTGTTTGGTCCTTCATATTCAGTTTCAATTCAAGTTCCTCTATGCAGCCTATATCATCATCGGATGTTGAGAAGGATTCTTTTTCTTCTTCGAGCATTTGTTTCACCATAACCCGTTGTTGTGTTGTAAGACCACTGAGGTCTAAATCGTTGATGGGGTTATAGTCATTATCTCTGTTTTCTGTAGTTTGTGACGTTTGCACTCCATCTTCCATTGTAGGCATTGGGCAGTTCTTTCCAGGTTCAGAATAAACAGAGTTAACAGCTTGAGTCTTACCCAAGTCTACATCCTTTAGACGAACTTCCTGTAGTGTTACTGATTTTACTAACTGTAATGTTCCCAAAACTGTTCGTTTGTTAAGTGTAATGTCATGATTGCTGGTGTTAGAGACATTAATTTGGACTCGACAGGATGACCCGTGGGGAATGGTTAGCAGTTCTTCAGTTATTTGCAAACCACTTGGCCATGACTGTTCACTACTAGGTTCAAAAAGTACTGGTATCCGCTTTTCGACAGGTCCTGTATTTGCACGGCACTTAATACTAACAGTTGTTTTGCGAGGAACAACTACGTCCTGTTTAATGGTCTTCACGAAACACAGGTGTTCAGGTGATGGGGCTTGAATCAAACTTACAAGGGATTGTATCTTTGCACAATTAACATCAGGAAATGAAGCTGCCCATTCCATCACAATTTGATCTGGTACCTTGTCTTTCTTAACTAATTCTTCTATTACATTATACCCAATGATTGGATAATCAAGCGTTTCATGAGTCACTAACATTGGTACCATAATTGTCCGATCCGTGCTTGCTGTTTCTAATTTGAACTCAACTACAGCAAACCCTTCATATGGCATGGGTGTCCCATTAGCAGTTTTTAAGTCAAGTTCTGTCCCATCGTTAAATAAGGATTCAATGTTCTTTATAGGTAAATCAGGCAATTGTTCATCCAGCCATTTTTTTTTGAGATCAGTGACACTTGTGCACCAGTGTCCCATAAAGAATGTACTTTTTGCCCATTTAACTGACAATGTACCATACATCTTCTACCCACTAAACCCACAACTTTTGAATACTCTCCTGGAGTTAAATGGCTGACATATGTACCAATATCCTGATTTCCCTTATCATTGGAATTATTATCAACTTTCAGTTCTCTAACTGACATGCACAGTACTTTATGTTCTTTCCAGTGCTGTTTCTGGCACTCTTTTGAACAATATCGTACTAATTGACAACCAGAACATCTTGAAAAGGGGTTTCCACACTGTTCAGTTTTTAAACATTTAGCACAAAAATGGGACTTACTTGATTTACTGGCTACTTCCTGTCCCTCGGCTGCAGCCATCTTCCGTTTTCCGAATTCGGTCTCTTCTTGCATCCTCTGGCAAAGTGGTCTGAACTACCACATCGAAAACAGTGGTCACAGTTTAGTTCTTTGGCTTCCTGACACTTTGTACCTAATCTTCCCCTACGTCCTGCTTGGTTTTCCTTATACCCAGTTTCTTGCTCCTTGGCTTTGGCTTGTTGGTTTGTCAGAGTTTCCCTAAGCTCAGCGAGTTCTGCTTTTACTGTCTTTAGAGCAGAAACTAGCTCACCTTGCTTGGGTCCTTTCTTTTCTTTTACTACTTGGTTTAGATCTTGTTCAATGGGTTCTTCAACATCGGCTGAACTGGACTTAATTTAATTAAGGTGGCTCCCTACAGTTTTCTAAAATTTTAAGTATTTTAGGTAGCCTTCGTTTTGAACCAAATTTATATTGAAAACACTTAAGACAGGGCAATATAATCATTTCCAGGAAAGTTCAGAAGTCTTCTGCTGTCGATATATGAACGAATAGGAACAGTGTTAGTGTTGCCATGGCAACCATGACGTTTCATCTTTTGCACTTTTATTGTCGAATTTTACAATCAAACGGATATATCTTTTTTTTCCTTCGGTCAATTTTTCTGAATTTTTTTTTTAAGATTTATGGTTGAAAGGGGAATGACATATTAAAATTTGAAGGGATGTTTATAAGGCCGGTTTTGAGATATTCATGAATAACGACTACAAAAAATCTGTCTTATAGAATTTCTTGAAATTTTGATATGTTTGGCGAATCGTCATGCTTAGCAAACGTGCAAAGTTTACAAAACTTTCACCGAAGGAAACGCGAGAAAAATAGTCCTCAATCCAGTTGATGCTGTTGACGTGACAAAATATCGATTCGACATGATCACTATTTGCGTGGGGAACACGAAACGCGTACGGTTTATAGATGGCTTTTTTAGCAATTTTCTCTTTGAGTTTTTGGCTTATATGTATCACACAGATACTTTTTACTTATTTGAAATGAAAATAAAAGATATATGTATTCAAAATACGAAACATTGAGAACACAATAACGCACTGACTTAATCCAACGTTTCTTAAATTTAGTTTTGTTATGAAAATCGGTGTGAAAACTTTTCAAAACATTCAAGTAGAGTTTGACTTTTCGTATAAAACAACTCGTAACTGTCTGCATTATAATTTTATTGGATTCAGCAGATAAAAACTACATGTGAACTGAGTTGAATGACAGGGTTTACGTAAGTTTCAGTGACAATTCAGGAGTGCCTTCAAGACAGTATAAAATATAATTTCAGTCCGTGACACTGTTGTTGAACATTGTGAGCATTATGAAATACAGTACTGAACGTATTAAATATATAAAAAAAAACACACTGAATGTAGGTAAAAACTAGCTAACAACATACGTACTGTTCGAATGTTGAAAAGTTTAGGATTATAATAAAACATTGGCGTTTTCTTTGTAGATAAAAATACAAAAACAACTTCCCGCGGCTTGTTTACTTGTTTCAAGATTTTTACCGGGCCACGACGATTCCACGCGCGAGTCGCGAGGATGACGTCTGAGCTATATAAATATTTTAAACTGGACTATAACTGTAGGGAGCCACCTAACTGCTTGAACATTGTTGATTTTTCGTTGTCGTGCCTGACTTGCTTTACCAAATTTCTTTTGTCTCTCTGTTTCAGTTGATACAATTATGTTCATTTGTTCAATTAGTAATTCATCCGTTATATCTGGTTGTTGTAAGAATGGTCGTAACTTTGTTCTTACAGCTTCATGATGAAGTCCAGTCTCGAGCGAGTGTAAAAACAGTCCTTGAACAAGACTTTCATCATATTTGATCTTTACCCCTGCTTCTTTAGAGGCAAATAAAACCTTTTGACGTAGGTCTAGAGCTCTTATCAGGAAACTCTGTGGACTCTCTTCAGGTGATTGTACAATTGTTGTTAATTGCTGGTAAAGTTCAGTTGCACTTTTCTCCTGAAAGTGTGATCTTAAAATAGCACGTAAATTTGGCAATGTCAGGTCACTGACTGTCTCGTGATAACTTCGCAGCTGCATGGTAGGAATAATTGCTCTTATTACACCATCAATCACTTCTGTTTCTGAGTAACCCTTAGACGATGCACTTTCGATCTGTCTGACCAAGCTTACAAATGTGAGTTTATCCTTTTGACCGGGTTCCCCTATTTGACCATTAATCTTGAATTCCCTACGTAATACACTTTTAAGATCATTTGTGGTTGGTATACTTACACTTGTCGCTGTCGCCTTCAGTTCACTTTCTTCCATTCTCCTTTGGAGGGGCTTCTTTATCTGTAATCTCAATCAACTGTCCTAGGATTTCCTCGAGAAATACACGGCATTGATTCTCATCTTCAATCTGGGCTACTTGCTCCTCACTTTCTCTTCGAAGTACTCGAGTAATACTAAGTTTTGATTTTCCTTGATATTTCACCTCGTCCAATTTGAGAAACACTGCTAGTTTAACCAATATATCTTCGCTTACTTCGCACAGTACCTTTTGTAATTGTAGCTGAAGCTCTTCCAAGTCCATTGCCATATTTAAACTTTAGCACAATCACAAAAATTATCCAAGATTCATACAGTACGAACAATTTTACGAATATTTATATACACAAAACTTATCGTTTTTCCTTCATTTTTCCATCAAAATCGCGTATTTACTTGTAATTATATCCCACCGCTGCCACCAACTGTTACCCTGGGTTTATTTCCATGAAAATACACGATTCTATTTACGATTTTATCAAACAAAAACACTTTTATTCATCAAATATATAAGAACCATGCTCTCTTAACAGTTTTTTCTCGTATGGCCTTATGGGCCACATTTGGCACAGGTGCCATAATTATTATCCGGGTTACACATATACTAGTCTGTTTTGCTTTATTATTATTATGACAAGGTTGGCAAGATTTTTAACGGAAATTTATTACAACGTTTACTAAAGTATGAATATTTTGCAAATTACAAACAAAAACAAACAAAAAAATTACATCATTTCAAACAGTGGTAATTTTACTATATACGTTCAACCAAACTAACTTCAAAAGTTCATTCTATGGATGTTAAAAAAACGAATTCTTTTTCTTTCCGGGTTTTTGACAAAATTTTGTCAAAACTATGCTGGGGTCACGTTTAATAATAATAATAATAATAATGATTTATTAACAGATCCAACAAAGTGACTCTTCCCTGTTAAGTACTACATTAGTATTAATATTCTACTAACATTAATATTATATAAAACTATACTACTAATTATTGTAGCTAAAACTATACTACAATTTACAAAGCCAAAAACAAGTTATTGCAATCGCTCCTTAGCTATGTCCATAAGGTAGTTCTTTGATTGTATGCTAAAACTAACAAGAGTTTCACAATTTTTAATATCGTTCGGAAGTTTATTAAAATATTTTGAGGCCAAATCCTGAAAAGTTCCCTTAACTCGAGGAACTGTCAATTTAGTTGAGTCACTTGATCGTAGGTTTCTCAATGGATTGGCTACTTCCAGGCTGGCATATGATGGCCAAGACGTATCATGTAATGCTTTATATGTTGTTTTTAAAAGATGCCATTCCCTGCGTTCTTGAACTGGAAGCCAGCCTCAATCAGCGCTTTGTCAAGATTTAGAAAATATGACATCACCACAGGGTAGATGACCCCATTTTTGTCAAAACCCCGAAAAGAATTCGCTTTTTTAACATCATTCCTTATAATGAACTTCTGAAGTTAAAACTTTGGGAGAACGTAGTAAAATTACCAGTGTTTGAAATGATGTAGATTTTTTTACTGTTTTTGCTTATAATTTGCAAAATATTCATACTTTAGTAAACGCTGTAATAAATTTCTATTGAAAATCTTGCTAACCTTGTCATAATAATAAACAAACTAACAAAGTACACTCGTGCTCGTATGCACGCGAAAGATTTTCACGCGCGAGCTTTCAAAACTTTTCCAAGCCGTGATTCTACATAAAAGCGACAAATACCACGCATTTTTGGGATGCATATGATCGAAATCGCACATTTTCACATTTTTACAGCTAATTAAAATACAAGGTTGTCTTTCAAACTTAATAATATACACAAAAATATTACTCGACTGTGATTGGTTGATTTCAGTGCAGTTAATCCCAAATAGCAGTGCATTTTCTGTAATTACAGTGCAACTTTCTGTAATCACAGTGCAATTTTTTGTAATCACAGTGCAATTTTCTGTAATCACAGTGCAAAAATCTATAACAAACTGATTTGATTGGTGAAAAACAATGTGACGATAAAATCAACCAATCAGTTTAAAGTAGTTTAGTTTAAATTAAAGAAGTAACGGTCACAGATTGCTTCAAAACAAAACAAACATGGCGCCGCGCTACACAAAGTAGAGTTTACTTCAGTTGGAATTATCTTTTTTTTTTTAATTGAAAAGCCTTTACCTTAAACAAGACTAACAAAACATACATAGTTGAGTGGAATTTTCAATCTGTTAGCGTTGTATAATTAACAATTATACCATGAGCTCGAGTCGTATATGAGCTGATAGCCGACGAGGTGCGTAGCACCGAGTCGGCTATCAGCCATATACGACGAGAGCGAATGGTATAATTGTTTTATCCCCGAGCCGACGGCGCCAAGCGCCGTGCGAGGGTACTAATTCCCCCGGCTATTTACACCTGGGGAAACGAAACCATTAGCGAAGTCTAAAGTTCATCAATGACCGCGGGCGTGGGTCACTGTGCGTGTTTCGGTGGGTGGTCATCCTCACTGATCTCATAATGTAGCGGACTGTCATTAATAGCCAATACTGATTGGTTCACTTTAAAATTGGCATTATAACAGCTGCATGACGACAGCGAAATTGATTTGATGATTTCTTGCAAATATATTTCATTTGTCATTTGTGCAAGATTTTGTAAATTTCAAAAGATTTTTGATGAAATAAAGGCAAAAGAATTGCTAAAAGAAGGGAGTAAAGGTGCCGACGTTAACGAAGGTAAGTTTGTTTAAAATATTGATGCATTGTTTGCTTTTAATATACTGTAATTACTTTAAATTAGCCGATCGTTGCGTATAAATATGAAACAAGACAGCGTATTTATATTTCAGTGTTTCTTTATTGATTACCCTTTTTATTATACTAAGCAAAGTTATTTGCATAAGAGAATTTGGAATCATTTTATTTCGAACTCAAAGTTTATCGATAAAGGGAGTTTAGTTCTATATTAAAAGAACACTTCAAAACGTTTTGCGAAGCGTTTGTGGTTGAATTTTACCTTAAATTGAAGCTTACATTACGTATAATTACATACCCAACATATATATGTTTGGAAAATTGATAATTTTGTAATTAAAACTGATATTTTTAGGGGATTTTTCATTTGTAAAAATATTCTTAAAAAATTATCGTGTTACCATGACAACTACTTTAAATACTTCACGTTCGGAAAATACAATGGTTTCGTCAGCAAGGCGAGGGTTTCTGCATGCATGTATTTTCTAGTAATATAGTCTAATAGCCATTAACTGAAGCAGTAATTAATTTTCCTCTGTTACAATGTCTTAACAATTTGTTCGGCCAAAAACCGCTTGGCCATGAAAATTTGAAATACTTTTGTTTTACAACTCGAAGACGAAGTGAAAGAAATGGTTGGTAGACTAGCTAGTAAGTGCTTGTTGACTGCAAATTCATTTGTTTTTCGTTGCAAACTTTTCTGAACAATTTATATTCTCAATGTCCCATGAACATGTTTTTTTCGCTGTTGTTTCATATTAATTCTTTAAAAACTCGTATTTAAACTAATTTCTATGTAATAAAGGTATTTTGCTGACCTGCCAAATTTTGTTGAGAGTTTTTCCTTGTACTATTATCTTTCTCAAAGCGAATATTTTCCTTTTTTCTGCTTCGCAAAACTCATGTAGGTTGGACCGCCATCTTGTTTTTCGCTACTCGCCGTATATGAGCTAATATATACGGCGAGTGATTCCACCAATCAGATTGCAGAACAGCTCATATACGGTGAATGAGTATATTAAAATGTGATATAACAAATCCAGGAAAACTTTACCAGTAGACGGTTCGCTAAAAATTACGTAAGTTAAAACCTCAATGGGCCTTTCACCTTTTAGGACTTAGGGCCGCAATGCATGCTGGTAGTTGGGTATGTGTTTGCTTCGAAGTGAAATGGCGGCCGTGAGGTGTCCATTTTGCTTGGAAGATGAATTTACTGGTTTTAACGACGTTTTCTTTCGCGAGATGAAAACTTAATCATGCTTTTAGGACAGGGCACTCTCTGTCTACATTTTGTAGAAACGGTGAGGAAATCGGAGTCGCCGTTGTAAAGAAAAACGAATTTAAAGCGGCCGAAGGGATGAGCGCTATTCGAAGAAAATATGCTTCGAATCTTGTGTTTCTTTTAGTCAAGAGGTGAGTAGCCGTATTGAATACCTGTAAGTAAAATCTTTTGCCTTGCAGCTGTAGATCTGTAGTTTACCTGTCCTGATCGCTTATTAGTTGTATTTATAAGCGTTTCTGCATCGTCTTTTTGTTTGTTGAAATTGACACATTGCGATGAGAATTTTATCTGCTGCTCTTTAAAACATGGCCTCTGTTTTGGCGCGAAAATGTACTAGCTTCTTGCGCTAAAGTGTAGATATTTTTCAAAAACTGCATTCAGAAAGTACTGTCACTTGATATTACTGCTGTTTACTTTGGTTTTGCATTCCTTTTGGGTCTGTTTTGGTCCCTGTCTTCGCGTAACAAGTAGGTTGTAGGTTGTAAATATTAATAATAGCACTAAAATATATATATTTTTAAGAAAATAATAATTGTCTTAGTCCGTATTGTCCGTATATCGATAAAGTAGTATAAAGTTCACAATAATTTTATTGTTGAACAAAATTTAAAATTTAGTTAGCTGTTTAAATTCAAAAATTAGTTAAGCATTTAAAGCCACTTTATAGAG